GGGTTTTGATGATAACAAAGTATAATAAGCTATTTTGTACTCTAATAGTTTGTTAAGTGTGCAGAATCTGAACAAGCCAGATGCTGGATAAAGCAGACTCTGAACAAGTCAGACGCTGAACAAATCTGGAAATCATTAGACTCTGGACTCTAGATAAAGAGACTCTGGACTCTAGATAGAGAGACTCTAGACTCTGGACTTCATCAAACTCTAAACTCTAGACATCATCATATTTTGAACCAATGTTATAATATGAAGAAGCGCTTAGCTAAAAGCCAACTCTGGATACCCTAGTCAACGCTTCTAAAGCAAACAATCCAAAACTACTCTAATAATATCAAGCCTCATTTTCACTAGACTCTGAAGTCTAATCTTCAAGGCTTTAAACTCTGATAAACTTCAAGTCACCTTTAATACGAAGCCAATGATTTAAAGAACAATGATTGAGAGAATATTCTTGATAACCATACATTTAAGTGGCAAAATCAAATGTTTCCTTAAAGGATAAATATGCTGCAATTATTAAGGAATGTACTATCAATGGTACTCCACGTTTCACAACTCGACCTCATACCACTATTACAGCTGTTGAATTGAATATGTTTCTAATTCTATCATTCAATGGTACTATTCATCATCTATATAAAGAGGACAAACAAATTATGAAAGAGAATGATATACACAATGAATGACATACGAACAGATGAGTGACATACAATAATGAAAAGAAAAGAGCGTCACTCACTACACTTAGAGCTTTTCATTTGTATATTTTCTTAAGTGCAAACTCTGAATTTCATTATGTGTATCTGCTTATTAAGAAACATTCTTGTAAGCACATATCTTTGTATTGTAACTTTGAGTTATTCCTTGTGGTACTAAGTTTAGTATGTAGCCTCAAGAACTCATTGTCAGTTAGTCTTTGAGTTTTTTCTTGAGGGACTAAGTTTAGTCACTAGCCTTGAGAAGTCACTGACAGTTGGTCTTTGATTTTAATCTAATTGATTAGTGGATTAAATCCGTGTGAGAAGGAAAAATCACTCTGGCGAGTGGACTAGACTAACCTAGTTAACGGTGAACCACTATAAAAATAAATGTGTATTTTTCTCTTTATTGTTCGTGTCTTTGGTTTCTGATTGGTTTGGCAAAAAATTGTCATATCAAAAACCCAATTCAACCTCACCTTTCTTGTGTTTCTTATACCTTCACCATCGAGTAGAAACATAGAAACATGCCTGCTCTTACAGTGAAGGTACATTTCTTTGGGTTAAGCCTCATATTGTATTGTCGAACCCTTTTAAGCACACGGTCAAGATGTTGGGCATGTGGGGCATCTGCACCATACTTCACGATCATATCATCCAGATACATTTCTAGTGTTTCCCCTGTTTCTTCCGGAAAAACTTTTTTCATCATTCTCTAGTAGGTCGCGCCTACGTTCTTTAGCTCAAACAACATGACATTATACTGGTAGTTGGCTTGTTCTGTCATGAATGCAGTTTTCACCCGGTCTGGGTCATACATCGGAATTTGGTTGTATCCTAAATATGTGTTAATGAACGATATCAGTTGATAGCCACTTGAATTATCGACAAGTTGGTCGATGTTTGGTAGGGATATGAGTCTTTTGGATAGACGCAATTAAGATCAATGCAATCAAACACATCTTCCATTCGACCGACATTTTTTTAACCAGGACCACGTTAGATAGCCATTAAGCATACTTCGCCTCTGAAATAAAGTTGATGTTTAATAGACCTCTTGGCATTTTCTTAATAGCCTCCGCTTTTTTCAGGAGATTGTTTCCTTTGTTGCTGAGGTACGTACGCAGACCCTACATCTAGGTTTAGCCAATTACATGCCACTTTATGGAATTATTCCAGGCATTTCACATGGGGAGATGGAAAAGAGGTTGGAATTTTCCTGGAGGCATTCAACTAGCCCGATCCATTCCTACGGGGAAAGTCTAATCCCGATCTTGACTAACTTAGCCGGATTATCTCCTAATTGCACGGATTCAAATTCTTCGTTCGGGGTAGGTCTAATTTCGTTCTCGCTAGCGTCGAGGTCGAGCATGTCACAGTTCCTTGAAGCTGAGGTCAAAATATCTTCATGGATTCCTCTCTAGGTCCTCTTGGCTTCCTGTAAACCTACGTATATAATGACCAATTTTTCTTTCTCGTCATGGTAGGCTATCTTCAGATGTACCGTAGAGGCTATAACATATAACTTAGCAAAAAAGGACCTTCACAGAATTCCTTTTAAAATGCTTTTGCACAATATTACCAAGAATGGAAGATTCATCATTCTCTTCCTTATTTCCTACCTTGCGTCAATACTATCTTACCACAAGGGCAGGTGATTGAATCGTAAAAAGCCAACAGTTTTTTCCCTCAAATGGAGACAAATATGCCCGATCGAGACCTATCAATCCCAATGCCTCTTTATAAAGGATTTTGTAAGAACTTCTATCGTCTATTAGGAATCACTTTACAATCAGATGATTGATAATGATCACGATGACCAAAGGTAAATCAGAGTTCAGGATCCCATCGATCTCTTTAGAATCAAAGAATTCAAACTATGATTGGTTGTTTTGCCGAAACTCTAAAATGGTGTTAAGCAAAAGGCAATCTACAGATGATGGAGTTTTAGGTGCAATGGTACTCCGAACGATGTCAATCAACGACAAGACCTGAGGAAATGGATCTGGATGCACCTTCTCGAGCATTCTCATAAGGTTGCATAAGGTTATTACTAGTGATGTTTAGATCTTTGTTGGATAACTTTAAGGTTGAATCTGTTATGGTTTTAAATAGACAGTTTGATGTTGATGTCCACAACCTTGTTGGTTTAGCTAAGTTGTTTTGATCAGTTTGATGTTGATGTCCACAACCTTATTAGTTTGGGTATACTGTTTGGATCTATGTCCTGGCTTGGTGAGCCCCCTATTTGTACCTCGTTCCCACCCTATCAGAGTTCTTACTTTTAATGAATTTGTTTCCTTTCAAAAAAATATCACGGCGGCTCAATGTATTTCTAACAATCCACCACAATATCAAACACGCACTTAATATTTTATCTAAAAATGTCAATTCTAATCGTTGTCAAAAGTCTACGTTATAAGAACCAGAGCCACGTAAGTGTTCTCATTTCTCATAAACCAAAAATTGGAATGTGTAGGTTGTAGGAATAATATTATACAATTGTTTGGTTCTGCTTCAAAACATGATTAATCAGGTCTCAATCAGAGGGGTCAAAAAAACCCTATATGACAAGGCCCCAACAACTAGGCCATTTATCCCCAAAACATATTTTTTTGTTTTTTATGAAGACTAAGTAATTGACTCAAAATCTATTTTTAATTATATTTTTATAAAAATAAATATTTTTGAAAAAGCATCAATTTTTTTAAAATTAAAAAAGTCAATTTATTTTGAAAATAAAAAAATGCCGATTTTATCCGAAAATTTTTTCAAAAATAAAAAGTCAACATTTTTCCAAAGATAGAAAAAAGTCAAATTTTTCTAAAAATAAAAAAGTCAATTTTTTTCTAGAATTAAGAAAATGATTTTTTTTCCAAAAATAAAAAAAAAATACTGATTTTTTCGAAAATAAAAAAATGTCAATTTTTGTTTGAAAAATAAAAATGTCAATTTTTTTCAAAAATTTAAAAAAAGTTGATTTTTTTAAAATAAAAGAAAAAGTCGTTTTTTTGGAAAATGAAAAAAGTTGATTTTTTTTTAAATTAAAAAATATCATTTTTTTCGAACATTAAAAATAGTTAATTTTTTCCGAAAAATAAAAAAAAAATCAATTTTTTTCAAAAATGAAAAAAGTCAAATTTTCGTTGAAAAAAATCGAGGTTTTTTAAAAAGTCAATTTTTATTCAAAAATAAAAGTTGATATTTTTCAAAAGAAAATATTGTTTCTAAGAAATAATCTCTTTAAAAATGTTGGGGCTGTGAGATTTTACTTAAATTTGAGGGGCATTAATTTAGAGAGCCTACTTGTTTTAGGCTCATTTATTATGAAGTTTTTTTATTGTACTCTATTTTTTTCTTAGGCATTATCCAAATTTTCAAAAATATTTTTAATTTTCAGACATACTATAATATACACATTTTATTCATTTTTGAATCGAATTCTAATTTTATGAATACATTTATTCCAAAATATATATATGAAAAATTTGTGATAATATATTTCCATAAACCGTTTTTGAATCAAATTCTAATTTTATAAATACATTTATTCCGAAAATATATATATAAAAAATTTGTGATAATATATTTCCGTAAACCGTTAAACCTGTATGTCTGTATTGTTTTCTTCATATTCAACTAAAATCCTCAAATGTATGACTCTTAATTTTTTTGTTTGAGGATTTTAATTAATTTTTTTGTTTGAGGATTTTAATTGAAAATAAAGAAAACAATACAAACATACAGATTTCTAGAGATTCCAGAAATATTTCCAGAAATTTTCCAAAAATATATTTTCAAAATAAATGTATTTATAAAATTAAGATCAGATTCAAAAACGAATGAAATTTACGTATTATAGTGCGTCCGGAGATTCATCTCCAAAAATTTAAATTTTTTTTAAAATTTTACATGGTGTTTAAGAAACATATAGGATGCAATATGAAACCCTCTTTATTTTTAAAATTTTGAACCCCCTGTATTTTTAAGAGCTTATAAATTAGATCCCGTCCTCCTAAATTGACAGTTCTAGTCTCAATACCATTTTTACTGTTAATTAGTGAAATTAGATATTTAAAGCGGTTCCAACCATCCTCTAAAACAAACAGACAACAGAAGCTAAGTCTATGATCAGAAGCTGATTGTATAATCATTATAACAATGCTGTTGCGCCGCTAATAGCAGCTGCTACAGAAGCAACTGATAATCTAAGCTCTAAATCCATAAAATTAATTTTATATATATATTAAAAAAGCAACAAAATCTAACTCTTAACTGTTAAGGAAAATAAGTTACTTAAATGTCAGAGTGCAACCGTACAAAACGTAATGAGCCAAAGGGAGTACTTAATCTCCATTCTCTTTGCTTTTTATTCAGTGGTCTTCCTTTCCCTGCTTTCTCTCTGTTGACTCTCACGTTTGCTAAACTCCAAGTGCAATATTTTGTTTCCATGTCGAAGGATTCTAGCTTGAAGACACCGTCACCTTCTGCAGATGGATTATTTGAGTCATCTTCAATGGTATATCTCACATACATAGGTCTCTCCTTGAATCGGTCTAGGTCATCTGGAATCCGAACTACTCTTTCAACACCTGGTGAAGACACCTGAAGGAACACATCTAAAGATATAAAAGGTTCATGTGGAATGTGGTCGGATAAGCACAAGTTAAACCAACTGGACCAAAGAGTACTGCAATAAGAATAATGCTAACAACATACTCATTGTCACACACTCTTTTATTGGTTAAAATTCATATGAGTCTCACCAAATTTATATGGAACGCGTGATTTGGTATGACTCTGAATTTAAATAAAATAATGTTAGAAAGTGTGTATTAGAGAGTGTATTCCTACTACTCCTTCAATAATTTTGATTCAAACTTGGTTTATTGTGATAATCGAAAATTATATCTCTACCTACAATATATGACAATGCAGTAAGATATTTGAGACGTACCTCCAAACTTAAATTGTCAGGAATTAATTTGGCAAGTTCTGCTTCATCCAATTTTGCTCTGTAAGTTGTAGAAAAGGCTTCAATATCTTCCATGGTGGGGGAGCCGGATCTATTATGCATGGAAATTCATAAATTAAGCATGCATCAAAAGTATATAATAGCGAGTTCAGTTCAGCGACAGTTTATGCAAAATAAAATAATTGCATTAGAGGAAAACAATAATACAGATTATTGATCCTTGATGAGTGCATCTGTTGTTACATGCCAGAAATTCGTTATTGACCAGTGCATGGAAGCATTTATTGTTTTTATGGTAAAAAAGTTCCTTTGAAGGTTACAGAAAAGGTTTGCACTCATGATCTGTGATAAATCATTGAGCATTACGGGAACACAAGAAAAGGTTTGCCACCAATCCAATGCAGCATTTCAGAACCTGTGATATGATTTTAAAAATCTTGAGACTTTTATTTTACTTCATTATGAGGGGAAGGTGCTACAGGACAAAAGTTTCTTTCCATAAGCTCAGCAGAACTTAAATTACAAAGGTAAATAAAAGCTTCTTCGTTTTCTTACATAGTTGCATTGCATGGGTTAAGAATACCATTTACTAATAAATTGAATTAAACTTCAACAACTTTTTTTCTGTTGAACCTATTTTTAAATAAAACTGCAGCAAAAGAGAAAACCGTAAGTAGTTTAGCCTAACAACTTTTTTTCACATATTCACATTAATGACGGAAACAATCCAAAAAATTAATGACAAACAACAAGAGAAAATCACCTAAAAGATAGATAAACCTCTATATCACATTATTTCCCCAGAAAGAGATATCCTTATGTTATATAGCACAAATATTTCACCCTCTCACAAACACTCCTATATGTTGTTAATCCAACATAACAGTGTCACGTAGCACCGACCCCCTACAATGCTATTGTAGCAGATATCTGCTATTGTAAAGACTAAAAATCAAAGTGCAAAGTAAAAATAAATGCTCAAAAATAGAAAAAATACAATTAAAGAGACCTTCATACTTAATAAATAAATAACCCAATGTACATAGCAATAAAACTTAAACATAGAAGAAAAACACAAGAATTAACCCAAAAGTAGAAAGAACGTAATGATTGTTTGTAAGCAAAAACATATCATAATGAAGAACATAATTATACTCTTAAAAGAGTCTAAATTGGCATTTATACCCTTTAAAAAAGCCTAGGGTTTGGAATAAGGCTTAGAGGAATTTTTCCCCAAAAAATCCTAATAGCAGTTGTGATAGCTGTTTGGGGCCACAATAGTGGCTGATACAACTGATATCGTTCACAGTCGCTCGCAGGCTAAAAGCATTGCACCGAACCCTTCTAGTGCTACGCTATTCCACTATAGCACCACTATAGCACACTGTTGACAACATAGACACACATTATATATTGCCTGCAATATCCAGTCATTACAATTTAAACTTACACTTTCTAAAGATTCATCAGAAACATTCAAAATCTATATGCTTTTATTCATATTGATCATCAAATTGTAAAATTACGAAACAAAACCTGACTGAATCTTGTAAGCATTTCACCTATGATATATCATAGATATGAGTGTGAGAACGAGTATGATATATGACAATTTTTAGTTTAAAAAATCAAAGTATGGACGCGTCATTAAAAAATGAGAGTTTAAAAAGCCAAAACATCAAAACATACCAATGGACGTTTAAAAAGTCAAAACATCAAAACATATCAATAAAAGTTTAAAAAATCAAACGTTGTGTTGTTACAGTAACAAAAAAAACTAACATACATAACTAACAACATACTAGTTGATATATAATATATGAAAAAACCACAAATTTTATTCAACAAAAATAATGAGAACAAAAGAACCACGACTAAGTGTGCACCGGCACCGGCATATATCTGGGTAAGGTTCTTCACCATTCTAAAATTATCTAAGTTTCACAGCATTTCATAAAGCCACAAACAGATAAAGTAAGTTGTCCATGGCGATTTGAGGTCCATGGCTAATAGCCAAAATCGCTCCATACTAGCCGCTTTCTAGCACCATTATAGCAGATTATGACAGAAAACCCTGCCATATCGGCTGATATTTACTATTGCGGCGAGCCCAAAAACTGCCATGTATATCCGCCATAGTGCTGCCATGGCAGTATTTGATAACACTGGTTTGTTTCTCTCTTAATCTGATCCAATCAGTTGAATTTGATTAAAACATTACTACTACCTATCTTTAATGAATTAATTCATAAAATTAAAACAACATTTTCTTAGAACTGCATCTATGTCTAAAACATTATAACAACATTGATGATGAATTCTTACTTGTTGGAAAGCTTTTCAATACGCACTTGAACTGTGGAATTGCGTAAGGTTCTGAAAGCATAGATTTGCAAGTCACCCTCAAAAGACATAGTAACCTCTTTAGCAACTGCTAATGCCTTTTTATCCCACCATGTTCCGGCGAGGGAAATTCCACCGCCTGCGCCACCATCACCGGCCTTCAGAAACAACCAAAGTCAAGTCAATTCTTCAACAAAATTGAGTAGTTTCACTCAACAACACAATAATTATTAGGTTTCCAACAAAACTTACATAGGGTAGTACACTATCCTCTTCCTCGTCAAAGAACTCTTCGTCTCCGTCACTATCATCATCCATGTCCTCGTCAATTTCTGTGTCTGTGTAAACAACAACATCAATTGAAAGTTTAAGGGGAAAAATAATTGAGACATTCACAGTAGTTATACCTACCGTATTCAAATTCATCATCATCATCTTCTTCGTCTGACGATACTTCTTGTACGATGGTGGATTCTAGAACGGGCTCTGAATCAGAGATTTTCTTCTTTCCGTGAGGAATAACAAGGGGCTTTATTGGAGTGTATGGAAAGGTGGAAAACTGAGAAGAAGAAAATTGGGTTGAAGAAGAAGAAGAAGGGGCATAGAAAGAATTCCTACTCCTAGACCTAGTAATGGTGATATGTGGTGACAAAGGAATTCGCCATGGTTGCAATAGGCTTGAAGCGTTAACCAAATCCATTCAGTTTTTTATTTTATTTCTTTAATTTGTGAAAGGACTTTAGTGAGACATATGAAAAATATTAGGAATCACTTGTGGAACATAAATGAAAATTTGAAATTGTACATTCATTTGCATTTTCGAAATTCGGCTTCTTATTCAAATATATAAGAATTGAGTTTCATCCTATATTTTTTTCTTAAATTTATTTTGAAAATGTATTTTCGAAACAACTCCTTGTTACAAGGTTTTTTTAGATATAAACTATTTCAAAAATATATCTTTATATTAACATCAGACAAAATTCAAAGATATCTTCAGAACCACACCCGACATTAATTTTTTATTTTAACTTTAAAATGCTTAGATGAATTTGACCGTATATAACTTTGCTTTATATAAAAGTCACACACTTTTAGAATAATATGAAAATGATATATGTATAAGTTAATAAATCTAAAATACATATAATTTACAAAAGAAGTTATGAAAAAGTGGAAATGATCAAAAGAGAGGTTGAGGAACCAAAAGAAAGACAATTTACAAAAGAAGTTATGAATAGGTGGAAATGACCAAAAGAGAGGTTGAGGAACCAAGGAACAACATATAATAAAGGAATAAAAAAGAAAGAAAGAAGGGAAAGAAGGAAGCCGCTCAAGCTGAGAAACTAGAGGGAACAAGTTATCCCTTCTAAATATCAAAACTACGCACTCCTTAACACTTCTAGTGAACGTCAGGTTTCAATAGGAAGAAGTAGAAATTCCTAAACAATTTCGAGAACATCCTAGTATCGGCAATTTTTTGTATTTCTGTTTTCACAAACACAACTTCCATAACACCAAAAAAAGTGTGCAATTAAAAGATATTTGTAAACACTCCACCGGTTATTTATTTATCTAATTGTATTTAGGGATGTCAATAGGGCAGGGAATGCACGGAGGATGCTTCTCTACTCCCCGCCCTGCCCCCCTATATTTTTTCCATCCCCGTTCCTAATCTCCGCAACGAGGGAATATTTTTCCCCATTCCCACAGATCCCCAAGAGAATCAGAGATCCACGGAGATCGAATCATAAATAAAAATTATATACTTTTTTTATCAAAACTATGACACAAGTGTTTAGTTTTTTTCTTCCTTTTTTTAAAACATGTATTTTGCATTTTTTAATAAATCAAATCAAATCTTGAATCAATAACAAACAAAAGCAAAAGCACTTGCAGCTACAAAAATATAACGACTAACTTATTAATTGAACAAAAATCTACTTGATAATTAAACTATATTGAAGTTTAAGAGTAATTACCATAAGTATAATAAACAAATGAGAGTGGTTGTTTTGATGATGATGAGAATAGAGGAGATGAGGAATGAAGGAGACACTACTAAAAAATTTGCGTTTAGCAATTGAATTAGAGACCGAAAAAATATAAAAGTCGGTCACTATAACACTTAGCGACCAATATTTTTCGGTTGCAAAAATGCTAATCGTTACCTTTAGTGACGCATTCAGTTACGACCAATTCTGTGACCAAACTAGCCACCGAATTTATAAAACTAAAATTAAAATTTCAACCACATACTGGAAGGCCAACCACTAAAGCGAATAGTTTAACTTTATCATTCATACATTCAAATTTATATTTAATAGTAAATATATTTATTAAATTAAAAAATGGGCAAAGAATGGAATCAAACCAAGGTTCTTTCACTTTTGTATTATATTATACGTCATTGAAATACATAGTTTTAAATGTTAACTATTATGATGAAGTTTATATATATATATATATATATATATATATATATATATATATATATATATATATATATATATATATATATATATATATATATATATATATATATATATATATATATATATATATATATATATATTTCTGTTTTAGATTGATATTATATTTTAAAAATCATTTTAGTTAGTTTTTTGTAAGCATTTTTGTTTTTAATAATACTGATCGTATTTGATCAGAAGAGATTGTTGACCGCCACGCGTCGTCGATCTGAAAGCTGCTCACCGGAGGTAGGGAGGAGGAGGGGGGTGTACCTGCAAGGCACTCTGATGCTTAAGTGAGTAAGGGACCAGAGCGGGAGCAAATACAAAAATTAGGTGTAGAGAATGGAATCCCTGACCCTCTAGTGAAAGAGGGTATTTAGAGTGAGACCCCAGCGCGGGGCTAACGATCACTTGTGTTGGGCTGGATGGCCAGGCCTAACCCAAGTGACTGTTAGGGCTTACGTGGCGTAGTGAAGACCAGCACGTGGTCTTCTCCCTAGATCAATTGTCCCGTGCGTCACATCCTCATTTTCACCATTATCCTTTCATGTCCTACGTTCGTCATATCATACATCTTTCTATTGCATATCGAGCATGTGGGTTCACAAGGTAAAAATTTGGGTCGGTTCATTGTTTTCCGTTTCAAATAAGAGAAACTGCCTATCATATGCTACATTGAAGAAAAGGTTCATCATATAAGGTTTGGTTCAAGTTGGAAAGTCTACTCATGTAGATTCCTTCAAGGAGATGTCACTTGAAAAATATTAGGATATTCAAGATTAATATTCCTAATGAACATGAAGTGCAAGGCCTAATTCAAGATTTCTTCATCCAACTTTGTTTCAAATTATATGTTCAAGGGGAATTCAAATTTTCAAGGCATAAGTCAAGACCACAAGTTCATAATTCAAGACTTCATCCCTTTCAAATTCAATGGCATAAGGGAGGTCCATCATTCCAAATGCAAGATTCATGAATTCAAGATTAGATTACAAAGAGAAATTTCATGACATTACAAGAATGTCACATTTGTTACAAAGTTTCTAACTCTAAGTAATGCTTAGAAAATTAAGCTATTTCTAATCTTAATTCAAGTTTCTAATCAATTTTATGCTACGGTACCCTTCATGCCCCATAAAGTCCACATGTTCCTCATTATGCATACAAACCTCTAAGGAGAAAATTTAAGAGGTAACTTACCATTGGAACATTTCAAGATCAAGACTATGCATGCTTAGTCATGGGCCATTTTAATGTAATCCAAAACAGTCCCATGCAAGAAGTGATAATTTTCCTCATAACCTAATATTTCATGTCACAAGACTAAAGGAATAAACTCATGGTGATGCATCTACACAACAAATATCAGAATTTCAAAATTCTGTCCAAGGTAGTAACATTGACCGCAAGGACAGTCCAAGCACAAGCCAACAAATGGGTACAAGATTTGAGAGCAATGCAAGGTGCAGCAGAAAAAGACAGCCTAGGCAAAATGTAGCAGCAAAATACAACATAAAAGCACAAATGAAAATGGAAAGAAAGAGAGTGACATCAAGAAAGTGGCATTGGATATTTCCAAGTAAAAATATGAAGTTTTGAAAGGGGGGAAAACCCTAATGTTTGGGGAATAAGAAGGGAAATAGCAGTAGATTTAAAGGATTAACACATTGGCACATAGAGAGAGATGGAGAGCAAGAGGCATTGAGAAAAATCAGAAAAAAGACATTGAGAAAAAAAAAGAAAAAGAGAGAAACATTGAGAGCATTCACTAACCATTGAGAGAACAAGAGAGGGATAGAAAACCAAAAGAAGGAGGTGAACCATAGAGCACATCCAACAAAGGCCATTGGTGAAGGAAGATAGTATCTCTTGGCTATTCTTCCTCTCAAACTCTTATCTCTTTACATTTTGCATGTTTTATTTTTAAGTGATGTTTGTGTTGTATGTTGTAATATGGTCTCAAGAGTGACCAAGAAATGTTGTAGAAAACAAAGAAAGAAATGAAAAAATATAGTGTAGTTTTCATAGTGAGGTAAGTTGAAAAATACTCACTTTCACTGTCATGTTTGCACTGCGAACATCCCTTTCGCCTAGCGAACAAGACTTTGTGGTACTAAAAATGCCATTAAACAACTTGTTTTCCCTTGTTTTTAGCCAGCGAGTTGTTCGCTGGCACCTTCGCACTGTGAACTTTGGCTCCTTTTGCCTCTGTTTACGTTCGTTAGGAAGTTCACACAGTGAACTTCTTGCTGTTTTTTCTGGGCAGCTTCGTTGCAAGGTTCGCACAACGAACTTCATTGCCTTTCGCTTCTGTTTGTGAATAGTGCATGTTCGTTGGGAAGTTCGCACAACGAACTTCTTGTTGTTTTCTGGGTAGCTTCGCTACCGGGTTCGCACAGCGAACTTCCCTTAGTTTTTTTAGTTTTGTCAACAAAAAAATTTCTGTTTTTTTCTTCATGTTTTGTGTTTTTTTCAAGCCGACTAGTGGTTGTATGGCCTTTGTATGTGGGTATTGTTACGGTTATTTTTGACTTTTGGTTCCAAAATCTATTTTCAAAAATAAACTCTTGATTTTATCGAGTCATTTTCACCCTTGTAAGTCGACTTCCTTGTGCGTTGCCATCGACCTTGTTCGCCTCACTTCAAATATTTTTACAAGCAATAAAACCCTTGATCCAACATCAAGTGGTATTTTTCTTAAAAAACCCTAAACACAATAAAGATACGATTAGGATTATACGCCATGTGCTTTAAAGTGGTGGAGAAGGAATGAGAATGGAACCCCTCCTACACTCGTTCCGAATATTTTGAACACAAGGCGCTCGACTTGGATATTCGAGATATTCATCTCTACCCAAAGTCTTTAGTGTGATCCTAATCAAGAACTTCCTTTCAAAACCATAAAAAATAACATCAACTCATCAAACTTCTTTTTCGCCTTAGGGCATCATCCGAAAACTATTTTTCAAGGTATAAAATCAACCAACAAACTACCATTTCGTAAGCCGCCGAACTACGACTACTCTGATTTCTCACACCTGTTGAGAATACGTAAGCATAGGATTGCGATAATACTAGCGAGCACTCTTTTTTATTTTCCACCTTTAGTCCTCTATTCCCCATCACCCGAAAAGGACATGTTACGTATGTTCTACTGCAAACAGGTAACGCATAAGACTCCACGAGCGAGCCGCAATACACATAACTGTTAGAATGCGCACGTTAG